TTTATTTACTCAAGAAATATCTATTCTGAACTTTCTATGTGCCATGTTTTCAGGGGTGAGCAAGGCTGTCAAAGTCCCTGCCCTCCTGGAGCACTCAGACAAGTGGGGGTACACCAATAAGAAGCAAGTATGGGTAGCATGTCATGTGGCCTGTGACAAGTGCTGCTAGAAGAGTAGAGCCAGCCAAAGAGGCAAGAGGACCCTGAGGCTGGAGGTGAGCTCACACTGGTGCTAGTTCAGAGGATTCTCTAAGACAGTGAGCTAGGAGGGGCATGCTGGAGGAAGCCAGGGCATGAACAATGCCTGTCTCTGGGCAGCAGGTCTCCAGGCGGAAGAAATGGCAAGTGCAAAGGCCCAGGAGCAGGAGCAAGCTTGGCCTCTTTCAAGATGAGACAGGAGGTCAGTATGAAGGTAATTGTAGGAAATAAGACAGAGGTTACTGGGGTAAGAGCCTGGCTTTTCCTCTGAGCAAAATGGGAAGTTACTAGAATGTTTTAAATTAAGAACTTATCTGATTTACATTTTGAAAGGCATACTGGTACCAAGTGGCTCTTGGAGGCTGGTGAGGAGCATCCTGTAATAGCCCAGGTGGGAGAGAATGTGCTTTTCTCTAGGGTTGTAATAAGACTTAGTGAGAGGTAGAGAGAAGTGTTTGAATTCTGGACACACTAATATTTTGAAGATAGACACAACAGGCCTTGCTGATGGATTATATGCAGATGTGTGAGAGAGAAATCAAGAATAATGCTGATATTTTTGGCCTGAGCAACTATGAGGATTGCGTTTTTGTTTTTTTGGGTTTCATTTGTTTGTTTTTGAGATCGGGATGCCTATGGAAGAGGCAGGGTGTTTTGAGGGGAAGAGGAGGGTGCATCAAGGCCTCAGCTTTAAGTGTATTACTTTTAAATTGTGTAGTAGATCTCCTAGGGGAGTGTCAAGTGGGAAGGTGGAGACACAAAACTGGTGATCAGGAAAGAGCTCAGAGCTGGGATACAAATCTGGATGTTGTCAATGCACAGGTGTGACTTAAACCCGGGAGACAAGACGAGGTCACCTAGAAGGGTATAGAGGCAAAAAGAATATGCCCAAGGCCTGAGCCCTGGAGTCCCCCAACGTTCAGAGGGTGGCGACATATTAAGGATTAGCCCAGAAAGTGGAAAAAGACCCAGGACTGAGTGATACCTGGAAAGCGAGTGAAAAGAGCAGGTGGTGATCATCAGTATCTGTGGCTACCGAGAAACGAAGATGGGGATGGAGCTTTGGTTAGGGGATTTAGCAACGTAAGGTCACTGGTTACCTTGACAAGAGCTGTTTCAAAGGCTCACTGGGAAGAATGACCCCTGGAGTGGGTTTAGGAGAGAAGGGAAGAAGAAGAACCAGAGACAGTGAGTGTAGACAACTCTTCGAGTTTTACTCTTGGGGGAGCAGTGATAATGGTGTGGTAGGTGGAAGAGCGTGGATAACTGGTAGCATATTTTGTGTTTTAAGATGGAAGCCACAAAAGCACGTGGATGAGATATTCCAGAAGGGAGGGACAGGTCAACAGTCAGGAACTAGAGGTGAAATTTGCTGGTGCCACATCCCTGAGTAGGTGAGAGGAGGTGGGGCTGCCCCAGGCAGGGTGGAACAGCCGTCCCCAGGCGCACAGGGAGAGGCGGTGCGGCCATACGTGTGCAGGGTGTGGGAAGCGTCTCTCGGGCTGCTCTGCATTCTCAGCGGAGCAGAAAGCAAAGTCGTCGGCTGAGAATGCAGAAAGAGTGTCTGAAGAACAACAGGACGTATGAAATAGTCCCCTGGGGAGAAGGGAGCCGAACGGACTGGGAAGCTTCAGAATCATTGCTGGGGAGCCTTTGGCCACTTGAGGCTGGTGGTCATGAACTTCAGGTGAGACCAGCCACCACAGTTATGTTTTTCTCCAATCAAGCTGAGCTTTGCAGACACATGTGCCCAGCAGGCAGAGATTTAACTAGCTGGGATTTTGCCAGGCACCTGTAACAAAAGGGTGTGTGAAAAAATGGGCATGGAATTCAAGCTGGGTCAACAGGAATGAGTGGACAGAGGGAGGGTGACAGATGTGGAAACAAGGTACTGTCTTGGCTTACAGGCTGAGTAAGGCTCGAGAATTGTTGAAAATGTGTGTGGGGAGAGCTAGCCTCTCTGGAGCATCTCCCATGCCACTAGGGCTTAATGGAAAGTACTTCCAAACTCAAATGGGAATAATGGTGTGTCTTCAATGGACCTTGTTCCTGTGCATCACATTAGTGCATGGCAGGAGGGAAGGGGGCTCGCATGCTTTCTCTGACCTTCTCTTTTCTAGGCTACATGTCCCCAGCTCCCCTTGAGGGACCTGTTCTACAATCCCCTCATCGCTATATCACTCTTCCTTGTTTTTGCTTGAGAGCTGATGACCTCCTGGGTTTCATGGGGAAGATTCCACAGTGTTGGGGAAGCTCAGAACAGTGAATCAAGCATCCCGCATGGAGTCCCAGGGGTGCTGGGGTCTGCTCTCTCTTGGGAAGAAATGGAAACAATGATTAACGTCCCCAGCTCTGAACCCCAGTGAGTCAGCTTTGCGAAGTGTTTGCAGCACTGTCCAGGGCTCTCACGTCAGGAGTGCAGTTCCCTGGGATCGGCCCGGGAGCCCCGGGGTCTGTGTGCTGTCGGTGAGCATCGGGCTTGAGAACGCCACAGAGAGGCACCGCCACTCTTATGATGCTTGTTAATACGACCCGAGCGTCCAGTGTCTGCTTTACCAGGGCGGTGGAGGAGCACAAGAGTAGGAGCAAGTTTTGTGCCTAATCTACACACATACACAGGCACGCTTCTTTTTCACACAAATTATTGCATATTTTACATAAAGTTCTGTACCTTGCTGTTTGTACTTGCTATATCTTGGAGACTTTCCATATCAGAATAAAGAAAGTACCACTGTTTTAAATCTGCATGGTGTCCCACTGTATGGACATATTGTAATTTACATAAATAGTCCCTTATTAATGGACAGCTGGGTTGTTCCAACCTCTAGCTACTATAGTGAGGAATGTTTGTACCATAATCATTGAGCCACAAAACTCAGAGGCCCTGGGATTCTGCAGGAAGTTGTAGAAAGGGAAGAAAATTTAATGGAAGTTTGAAGCAAGACAGAGATAACAGATAAAGCTCTGGCCTAGAAGTTAAGAGACATGACTCCTGAAAGCAATAACAAAGTCTCCTTTCAATGGGCCGGGCATGGTGGCTCCCGCCTGTAATCCTAGCACTCTGGGAGGCCGAGGCAGGTGGATCACTCGAGGTCAGGAGTTCGAAACCAGCCTGAGCAAGAGTGAGATGCCGTCTTTACTATAAATAGAAAGAAATTAATTGGCCAACTAATATATATAGAAAAAATTAACCGGGCATGGTGGCGCATGCCTGTAGTCCCAGCTACTCGGGAGGCTGAGGCAGGAGGATTGCCTGAGCCCAGGAGTTTGAGGTTGCTGTGAGCTAGGCTGATGCCACAGCACTCACTCTAGCCTGGGCAACAAAGCGAGATTCTGTCTTAAAAAAAAAAAAAAAAGTCTCCTTTCAAGTCTCTAGCTTCTTACAATGTACAAAAACAATTCAAGACCTGTTAATTCATTTAGGGGAAGAAAAAAGCTGTGAAAGGCTAAGATGTTTATGACCTAAAACAAGTTTCTAATTTGCTGGTGTCCCAGTTAACTTGTCTATAAAGAAGCATAATAAGAGCACCTGCCTCATAGGGTCATTTCGAGGGTCAAATGAGCTACTCAGGTAAAGTGCTCAGAACAGGGTCTCTCATAAGGCAAGAGTTCAGTAAATAGGAGCTCTTGGGGTTGCTTAGCAAACAAGGAGAACACAGAGCAATGCAGTGCGAAGTCTCCTAGCTCCTAAAACATAGAGTTGATACAGGAACCCTGGTCCCCCAGCCTCCAAACAGGGCCATGAAGTCTTAGGAATAGATTCATAAAATAATGACAGCAGTTCTGACACATGGCCATTATAATGATTGCTGTACGGATTTCATCTTGTTTGAGGGGATTAGTCCTGCCTTGCACTTAGTGCCACAGTTCATCAAATCTGAGATGTCATTGGGTGTAAGAGTATAGTTATTTTATAGTATGAACTACTGAGAAGGAAGGAAGGAAGAAGGGAAGAATAAAGGCGAGAGGGAGGAAGGAGAGTGGAACGAGGGAGGGAGAGAGGGAGGGAGCAGCCAACCAAAGCTGTAGGTTGCTATGCTGGTTTCAAGCTGTTGTCTCTCACCTCCACAGGTGCCCTTCTGTGCTCTGCTCTGTGAAGCTGGGGCTGGGACCTGCACCCACATCTATCCTTTGCCAATAGGGGCACTTAGAGGAGGAGGGAGAAGGGACTTGCTTTTTTATGTTTGCTTGAATTTCCTGCCAATCCCAGTGATGACCTTGGGAGTTGATTCCAGCTTCCAACTTTTATCCACTCCCAGAACCAGGGTCATGGTGCCCTCAGCAGAAACAGTGCTGGTGTGCAGCTCCCACCGAGGTCTTCAGGTGTTAGCACCACATGGGCAGCACCTTCTTCAGAGGTCCTCCTTTGTATCATCTCAGCTCTTCAATATCTGCTTAACTGATTGTCTATGTTAAACTTCCTCCGTTAAAATAACTAGAGCAGTTTCCATTTCCTGCCTGGACCCTGACTCATGCATTGGTAAATGAAAGTCTTAGAATCGATGAAATAAAATACTATCACAGGGAATTCATAGACGTCAAGGTTGATGGCATCTGTGCAGAGGAACTAGTTGACCCTACTGGTGAGTCCAGAAGGAAGAAGTGCCCTGCTCAAGGTCACGCAGCTGAAGGTGGCAGTGGAGGCCGGACCCACACTCTCAACTCTCAGGCCGGCTAGTGCTCCCTGCACGGTGCCGAGTCTTCTCTGCTGACCTTCCAGAGGGCCTGCCCCTGCTCCTGGGATGGACAGCCAGTACACACCTAACAGTAGAGCATCCTCATCAAACCCCTCTTTTCTTGCAGGAAGCACACTTTGCTGGCCAACAATGGGTTTGCGATTTCTGCTGCCTTGCTGATGGCCTGTTCTCTCCAGGCGGGAGCCTTTGAGATGCTCATCGTGGGACGCTTGCTTATGGGCATAGATGGAGGTGAGACCACCCTGGTGGAAGAGGGGCAGTAACCTGTTCCTAGGGCATGTTTTACAATGTCTCGAGAGGTGTTTGGAGCTGTCACGTGACTGGGATTCCTACTGGGATTGAATTGTCAGGGACCAAGGATGCTAGAACCTGCATAAAATAGGACTGTCCCATGGGATGAATGATTCCACTCACAGTGTTCTAGCCCCTAATTGAGAAATGCTTGGGAAGGCAGACCCCAGTCAACCCCAAAGACCTGAATGGTCTTAAGCATGTCACACCTTCTGTTTTGTCACCTTGGTCATACATTCACATTCCGAGATTATCTGTGGTTTCCAGGGAGCTTTCATAAGGATGTGCTTCCTGTCTTGGGACTCTGACTCATTCTTTCATTTACTCGCCAAGCTCTTACAGACCACCTGCGAAGCCTGTGTGCTACGGGCGGGGCATAATGGTGAACGAGACCCTCCCCTGGAGCTTGTATCCAGAGGGGCTGGCAGGGACACAGTTAGATGAACAAGGCATGCCATCACAGGTCCTAGGAAGAAAACAAAGTAGAGAAGGGAATAGAAAGGCCAGTCAGGGAAGACTGCTCAGAGGGGAAACGGGAGCACAGACCAGAGGAATCTAGGGTAAGACCTGAGCGAGCATCCGGGGAATCAGAGTCCCAGTCGAGGGAAGAGTGTGCTGGCTCTGAGGCGGGAGGGGCTCGGCTGTCCAAGGAGGGTAGGGAGGCCAGTGTGGCTGGGGGCCGGTGAGCAAGGGGGCGCTGGTGCCGCAGGGGTTGCAGAGGCGCCGGGGCCAGGCCGCCTGTGGACGCGTGAGGGCTGCGGGCGTAGAGCATGAGGGGAGGCCAGGGAGGGTTGAGAAGAGCATGGCGTGGACGAGGTTGTTTCCATACGATTCCTCCTGCTCCCACATAGAGAGAGTGAGGGGCCAGGAGTGAAATCAGCAGAGCCAGCTGTCCAGGAGGGGACCTGGGCTGGGCCAGACGCTGGGGAGGGTAGGAGCTGGTGAGAGGGGCGGGACCCTGGCTGTGGGCCGGAGTGGAGACTCCAGTGCATCTCCAAACACACGCACTCCGCTTTCTTTCTCCATAGGCAAATCTGTGAACTGCTACTTGCAGGCACTGGTGGAAAGATTGCAAGCCTTAAGGTTAGAAATTCCTGGGTTTGGATCCCAGCTGTGCTGCTTGCTAATTTCTGACTGTTGCTAAGTTACTTAATGGCTCTGAGCCTCGGTCTCCCCATTTGTGAAATGCAGATAATAATGCCTACTCTGAAGGGGTATAAGGCTGAAATGAAACTATATATACGTGTGTGTGCGTTTGTGTACAAATTGTCAACGAAAAAAAAGCCAAAGTCTGCAAAATAATCTTAAAGAGATTTATTCTGAGCCAAATTTGAGGACCATGACCTAGAGCCACTGCCAAGAGGCCTTGGGCAAGTGGACTCAGCTGTGGCTGGGTTATAGTTTGGGTTTTATACATTTTAGAGACAAGGGTTATGGGTAAAGCCATCAATCAATGTGTGGGAGGCATACATTGGTTTGGCCCAAAAAGGAGGGCCATCTCGAAGCACGGGGTGCTTACAGGTTATAGGTGGGTTTAAAGATTCTTTAGATTGTAATTGGCTAAAGACAGGAAGCTTTGTCTAAAGACCTGGAATGTTTTAACATAAATTGTTTACCAGAGAGAAGCCACCATTTGTTGCAAATTGAAGGCCTGCAGGTGTGTCTTGCATACCCTCAGGCCTGTTAATGGGTTATAAAGGTAGTCTCCAAGAGGGGAGAGGGGCATGATAAGGCCTGTCTGACCTCCCTCCTCCTGGCAGGCAACTTTGCCTTAGAATATTCTTTTGGCCATGAGGGGGTCCATTCAGTCAGCTGGTGGAGGGGAGCATGAGCATTTTAGTTCACAATTCCCCCCTTTTGGCCAAGATCTGTCATAGGCAGCATCTATGGCCAAACTTTTATTTTGTCCCATTCGTTGCCAGGGTGGTGTGGCTACCTGCCCTGGGTCCATCTAGTCCCTCAGTGGGACCCTTGTGGCCAAGAGGACTGAAGAGCCAAACTGGGGCTTATAGCCAATTAAATAAGCCATACAGGATGGGAGGTAGACAGGCACTCATTAATACTCTAAAATCCTTTAGATGACATACGAGTAAAATGCAAAATATCAAAGGCAAAGCTGCAAAACTAATTTACCCTACTAAGCTATTGCAATCATAGATATATTAGTTTAGTGGTAGACTTGTAGTAAATATAAGCATCGTTAATTAACATTAAAGCTAAGGGAGTTTAGTAATTTATACCAAAGTGGCTGATAAATTACTCATTATATTTTCATTTGTATAATCTATAACTAATAAAAATTACACTCAGTAAGTTTTAAGTTTATAAGAAGCAGGAAAAAAAAAGATTTTTTATGATTGGGATGGATATCTGCAGCATGTGGCCTGAAAAGACAAACTATTTCATTTAGTATTCCTTTAGGCTTTTGCACGTCCCTCCTTTATTTGGAGGGTCTAAACTAATTCCATCCCTCAGAATTGGCCCTTACAATCTGATGTGCCTTTTCTTACTCGATATACCCTGGGCCTAGAGGGAGGATATTTGAACAGGGCTTTGGCAGATTTTATGGTTTTAAGGTCCCAGAGATCAGGTAAACTTGCTAATTACTTAAAATTTGTCAGGACTCTGGAAAACAAAACAAAAGAATTAGTAATGTTTTAAATAAAGAGTCTTTATATGAAAATTTAGTTCCGTCTCATGAGGTTTGAGTTAGCTATACTCATGGTCATATTAGATTTTTAATTAAAGTTAAAGTCTTGGAACTTCGTTTTGTTTTAGTCTAGTGGTTATATATAATCTCCAATAGTTATTAGAAACCAGTATTTAAGTGGATTTGTCAGTCTTTTCCATGGGCTTTACTTGAAGAAGCCAATTTTAGACTTAGCCAGAAAGAATCACTTTCTGAAATGAATCAAAGTAAAATAATAACTTAAAAGATGATAAACTGACCAGCCATGGTTACAGACAGTGGACAAAACCAAATTGGTTATTTGTGACATATAGCAATTTACATAATAACCATAATTATTACTGATACACATACCAAGACATGTCAATATTTTACAAAACTAGTATCTTAATAACATACTTATACAAGTACAGCCCAAAGAAAGTTAAACACCATTTTATATTTGACAATGTTCTCTGGATGGTTTTGACATATCAAATAAATCTAATGTGTGTCTTAGACTTTTAGTGATCCTAATGTATAAAAAGCTAGTTTAAGGTCAAAAGCTGGATTTAGAATTAAGTTTTAGAAAGGTCTCAAATATCAAAGGCTTAAAGCATTTGTTAATATATAATCACAAACCACTATAAAATAATTTAAAAAGAGAGAGATAGACATCAAATAAATCTAAAGGTGATAGAGTTATATGGATATATATCTTAACCTTTTTTTTTTTTTTTAGTCAAAACCTAATAAAGAAATAAAGAGAGCACAGGGATTATCTGACAAAGCATAAAATGTTTGCTTTTTTTTTTTTGGCAATTACAAATTAAACAAACCCTTTTGTACTACATTACTTTTTATATTAAAAGAAAAAAAACGTTATAGAATCAAAAATGAGTACACATCATGTCATTTCATTAAGAGTAAATTAATATTGGCAGAAATCTTTGTTTTAGCCAAAATTCTTTTTAATAAATATTGCTTTATAAACTTTATCCTCACCTGCACGTACCTTACACCACCTACAAAACATACCTTAAAACTTTCGATTTTGTCCTAACATTCCCTTTTCCTAAATAACCAGTCATTTTAGGACAAAAATTTTAGGTAAGATCCTTTCTTTAAATTATTCTTTCTGTTTAACCTTTCTAACCAAAAATATATTCATATATTCATTGACCCTTTACATCTTTTTTTTACACAAGTGGAGTTTTGTTTTTAATTTCTTTGAAAACATATTTGGATTTAACCCTTAAATAACCTCTGAATTAGACAAAGTTATATTATTTTAATAAGAACACATTCTGTTTTATAATTTTTTTATTGAAAAATCTTAATTTTGGGGGACACCGTATATATAGAATTACACACATTAACTAGAATTCTTTATTTTTAGTAACTTTAAATTTTAGTGAAAGCTTAAAGAGTAGGAAGTCATGAATTGTTTAATACACTTGTCATGAAACAAGATTGTAGGTTACTATGAAATTATAGCCAAAATAATCATTTAAATATATATTTTTTAATGCCAAAATCCTGTTTTTGTTTTTTTTTTGAGAAAGGAGACTCAGTGTCTCAAACAAGACCTAATAGACAGACTGCAGTGCAAGTTAATAAGGAAGCTGAATCTGTGCCTTTTTTCCCTTCCTTTTTGCAGTTTATTAAAAGGTGAATAAAAAATCTTTTGTTATTTCTATTAATATCATGACAATCTAGCTTAAAAGAGAAACCAAATTTTATTGTATTAGTGTATTAATGATCAAAGTTAATTTTAATAAAATCTTATAAACAAATCTTTTAAATTTTAAACAATTTGACTATAAGTTAAGACTTTTATAAAACTTTTATAACCTTTAACTTTTATATCCACTTAAATTTTAATGATAATTTACATATTGAATAAGTAGTTTCAAAAACCAATAAATTCAACAACATAATGAACTTAATTAGAACTCTAGAACAGATGGGCCTGACTGACATTTACAGGACATTCTATCCCAAAACCACTGAATATACGTTCTTCTCATCAGCTCATAGGTCATTCTCTAAGATTGACCATATCCTAGGACACAAAGCACATCTCAAACAATTTTTTTTAAAAAAAGAAATTATACCATGTCTCTTTTCAGATCACAATGGAATAAATGTAGAAATCCGAATCCTAACAGGAACTCTCATTTTTACACAAAGTCATGGAAACTAAACAACCTTCTACTAAATGATCACTTCATAAATGAGGAAATCAAGATGGAAATCAAAAGATTTTTTT